TGTTCTTCGTGCTTGTTACATGTCCTTGTGTCTCCTGGGGGAGGGTGCCCTCGAATATTCTTCCCATTGGCTGGCGGAGGGCCTCATGTTCTTGATGGATGCTTTTCTGTCCTAGGTCCGACCGTACCAGGGTATGTTGGGGTGTCTCTCGGGGGCCGGCCTCTTGGAGGTGTGTCTTGAGGCCTTTTGAGGGCGCCTCGTCGGCCTGTGGGAACCTCTTGGGGGAATCTTGGGGCATAAGGTTCCAAACGTCAGTTCGGGTCCACCCTCTGGGCCTCCTCTTGGGCCGTTTTGGGCGCCTCTTGCGCCGTCGTGGCGCCCTTCTGCGCCGTCTCGCGGCCCACTTGGGGCCTCGTGGGCTGTCTTGGAGGGACCTTGGGGACCTCGTGGGCCTTTCTTGGAGCATCGAGAAGCAGGAAAAGCACGAACCCAAAAATCTGCCAAGAACCTTGGAAGAATCCTTGTTGTTTGCTTCCTGGGCCCCTTTGGGGAGGCCTCTTGGAGGCTTATTGGGGCGTCTTGGGGGCATCGTCGGTCGTGTTGAGGCCATCCTGGGTGTCTTGGGGCTAACTTGGACAAGCTTGGGAGCCTCTGGGGGCTCTTGTGGCCCGTCTTGATGCCCGACCCCGCCGCTGGCGTTCAACGTTGAACGCCGCCGGCGACCCAGGGTCGCTCGATGTTGAACGGTCGGACGATGCGGAAAGGGCCGATCGTTCAGGGATGAACGCTCCCCGCGGTGTCGGGAACCAACGCCTGGGTCGGCATGACCAGAAGTTGTCGTACTTTGCCATGTTGGACCCGGTGGGGGGAGCTACAGGGGGGAAATCATCTCACACGACTCGATTGTCATCGCAGGTGGGCGTGCCAATCTTAGGGTTAAGTCGGGCGTGTCCTTCTACAGGAGGAAAATTCAAACATTGTCAAAAATTAGTCAGGGGACGATTTTTGGATTATTTTTTGAGCATTGTTGAATATTTGTTGACTGTCTTTTATGTTTCGTCCAAAGTTCGCCTGCAGGGGGAGATGCCGGACCTAACCTTAGGGATAGCGATCATATCGAGGCCGTTTACTGTTTGGCGCGTCATCGGAGGCCCAGAGGCTGGCATCAGCACTACTGTCGGCCGTGTGCCTGCACCGAAAGAAGATGATCCCGATCTCGGCGATGGCGGTAAGAGTGGGCTTTCCTATCGGGCCGAACAAAAGGGGGGGATAGGGAAAGCGGGGGGTACGAAATCTGCTGCATGCAGTTGGTTTCGGCCCCGCCGCCAGGCGCATTCCTCGATACATGGGTGCCTCCGGGTGCCGGGAGGCGCTGGGAAAATCAGCTACGTGAGCTGATTTTCTACTCTACCCTTTGCTATCCCCCACTTTCGTTCCCCCCGATCCTAGGGGACCGAAAGACTACCACCAGCACCAAAATCTAGGATCATCTTCCCCAGTTGGAGGCAACCCCCTGTATTGGTGATGGTGCCTAATGTCCAAGTTTCTGATTTCAGCGGGGCAGGAAATCCTCGTAATGATGAGTTCCAGGATTTCCTGCTCCCCGCGGACTCTAGGAACGAGGGCAGCTTGTTAGATACTTTGGATCTCCCGAATCGTATCATGAACCACTCGCGTCCCGACGACCTCCAAGTCTCATCGTCGTCGGCGCTTGGGGGCTCTTTTCGGGGCGCGGGGCCGTCGGGAATCGATCGGAGGCGGAAACAAGTTGTCAGGGTGGACCGCGGGAGGGGGACTGGGGAACGATTCCGGCTTTCGAGGTCCAGAGTCATCGTCGTCGTCGTCGTCGTCGTCCCCAGAAGACCTCTGAGGGGTTGTCGTCTTTGAATCAGATGTGGACCCAGGATGAGGAACTGCACTTGGGGAGGGGGTCGGGAGCTCTGAAGAGCGCCGCAGGCTGACACACATCTCATCGCTAGACGTCGTGATATGCCTCCTGGATGAGATGTGCTCGAGACACCGGCGGGCCCGACTGTCAAGACGGCCCCGCGAGAGTTTCGCGCGTGAGATCGCGCTCGACGAAGAACACAACAAAACATACGCGAACATACGTCACTGGGGGTTCTTAACCCGTCCCCCCCCCCTCGAAAACCGGCGGGGGTCCCTACCAGTTCGACCCCCCCCCCAGTCCATCATGAAAAGGGGGAGGTCACGAACGGTTCGAACCCCCCCCCCCTCGAGAATCGGGGGGGTCTCTACCGGTTCGAACCCGCCCCCCCCGTCTCGAACATTGGGGGGGGTTCACTACCGGTTCAACCCCCCCCCCCTCGCCGCCGGCAAACGATGCCCGCTCCTCGGGACAGTTGGAGAATGGTGGGGATGTTGGGACAGTGGTGGTGGGGACAGTGGTGCGGGGACAGTGGGACAGTGGTGCCGACTGGTGGGGACGGTGGTGGTGGGGACAGTGGCGAGGGGACAGCGGTACAGTGGTGGGAACAGTGGGACAGTGGTGGGGACGGTAGCGGTGGGGACAGTGGTGAAGGCGGTGGTGAGGACAGTGGTGGGACAGTAGTGCAGTGGGGAAAGTGGTGGGGACAGTGGGGACAGTGATGGGGACAGTGGGGACGGTGGGACAGCACAGTGGGACAGCACAGTGGGACAGCGGCGGGGACAGGGGGACAGTGGTGGGAACAGTGGTGGGGACCGTGGGGTAAGTGGGGAGAGTGGGATCGTGGTGGGACAGTGGCGGGGAGAGTGGGGACAGTGAGACACTGGTTGGGGCACTGGTGGGGACAGCGGGGACAATGGTGGGAACAGTGGGGACAGTGGGACAGTGGTGGGGACGGTGGTGGTGGGGACAGTGGTGTGGGGACAGTGGGGATGTGGTGGAAACAGTGGGACAGTGGAGGGTACAGTGGTGGTGGCGACAGTGGTGAGGGCGGTGGCGAGGACGGCGGTGGGACAATGGGACAGAGGTGCAGTGGGGACAGTGGTGGGGACGGTGGTGGGAACAGTGGGACAGCTCAGTGGGACAGCGGCGGGGACAGTGGGACAGTGGGACAGTGGGGACAGTGGGACAGTGGTTGGGGCCGTGGAGAAAGTGGGGAGTGGAACCGTGGTGGGAACAGTGGTGGGGACAGTGGGGACAGTGCGACAGTGGTGGGGACACTGGTGAGGACAGTGGTGACGGTGGTGGGAGCAGTGAGGACAGTGGTGCTGGGAACAGCAGTGGGGGATGTGGTGCGGACGGTGGTAGTGACCCAGAGTTGTTTGCTGGCGGTGAGCGTTGGGGGGGGGAGGGGTTCGAACCGGTAGTGACTCCCCCGGTTTTCGAGGGGCGGGGGGGGGGGGGTTCGAACCGGTAGTGACCCCCCCCAGTTTTCGAGGGGGGGGGGGGGGTTCGAACCGGTAGTGACCCCCCCCCCGGTTTTCGAGGGGGGGGAGGTTCGAACTGGTAGTGACCCCTCTCTGGTTTTCTGGGGGGGGGAGGGGTTCGAACTGGTAGTGACAACCTTCGGTTTTCCGGAGGGGGGGGGGTTCGAATCGGTAGTGATCCCCCCGGTTTTTTGGAGGGGGGGGGGTTAGGGGTGGCCGGGGGGGAGGGGGGGGGTCCAGCAGGGGGGGGGATTTTCGGAGGGGGCGGGGGGGGACCCCCGGGTTCCGGAGGAAGAGGGGGGGGAATTTTCCACAGTAGAGCGGCGGTGGGTCACGCTCTCTCGAACATACATGGTCGGAGGTCCGCGCGGAGATTTTGAATCGGCGCGGCGGCGCCGCAAAGGGGCTCGAGCGCCGAACCAGAATCCGCGCGGACTTCCGAAGATCTGTAGATATGCAGGTGTGTGTTCCACTGATAGCGTCAGCGCCCTCTTCTCCAGCACCATCCGAAAATACGAGTACGATGCGCATCGTCTACGCAATGGCGATGCGCACGCTCGGAAATCTTCGAGTACAAGCCCTGTGGCGGGCGCCTTCTGGCCATACCGCTCGGGCAACGATACATCTTGCAATATGTCTGTACTACACGCCCGTATCGGACGTGCGCCTCCAACACAAACGCACAGTTTTAGCATGTCGTTCGGCGTCCCATTCTCTCGTCGGCGGCGAGCGAGGCCTTCTCAAAAGGCTCGGAAGTCCACCCGCCCTTCTGAGAAGTGTTCTTAAGCCTTCCCCGAAGACATGAAAATTCTCTTGGAAGGCTGGAGTGCTTCCGAGAAGTCCCGCCGCCTCCTGAGAAGGCCATCTCCTTCTCGTTTCCTCGCTCGCTGCCGACGCGCGGTGCCGCGCCGGCCACGGCGCCAGCCAGCGGCGGCGACGACGGCGGCGAGACGAAGTTGATGGGCAGATGTTCCACCACCATTGCCATATGCAGGACGGGGGCGAAGGGAGGATGAGGAGGTCCTCCTCCTCCTCCTCCACAATTACACAATATGAAAATACTCTCCCACTTCCCCTGATGGCGTCCGGAAGATATTCGGCACCCCCCCGCGTACTGTTTTTACACACAGGATTCCCCGGAGTTGGGTTTTCGCTTGTGTTTTTTTCTAAAATGCTGCTCTCGCTGTGTTTGGCCTCCGTCGTTGAGGATGGCGTTCTCGCCCCAGCGCGGGCCTCTTTCTCGCGCGCCCATCCGCCCGCCACCACCGCGCCGCACCACCACCACCACCACCACCACCACCACCCACCACCACCAGCACCACCACCACCACCACCACCACCACCAGCACCACCACACCACCACCAGCACCAGCACCACCACCACCACCACCACCACCACCACCACCACCACCACCACCACAACCACGCACACACGCACGCACGCACGCACGCGCACCACCACCCACTAGTTACGCACGCGCGCGCGGAGCCACAGGTCCGCTGCGACACGCGTCCGCGGATAGAGAAAATCAGCGCCATGGTAAGGGATGGGAGGGAGGGGTAGGACGTCAGATATGACGCGAGCGCACCTAGCTTGGCCTCCTCCCCCTCCCCCTCCCCCTCCTCCTCTCCGACCTGTGGTAGTGGTGGTGGAAAATGGGCCCATCAGAAGTGCCTGGCGCGAGGATCGCCACCGGCGTGGTGCTGGCGGCCCGCGGCGCGGCGACGCCGGAGGGGCTGTTCCGGCCGACCGCGCTGTGCTGCGCATCCGTGCCGGCGCCGCCGCCCCTTCCGGCGATGGCGGGGAGGGCGGGCGTGCTGCGCCGGTCGGGGGGGCGTAAGACTCGAGTACGCCGGAATTCAGGTTCGCGTTCGCTTTTTGACGAGCCTGGCCCCGGGGTTTGACGCTCCAGTTTTCGTGGGATGTTTGCAGCGGGAGCTCGCGTCAAGTTTCAGGTTGGGCCTCGTCATTTTCGCGATGGCTCCGTCAGGCCAATCCGAGTCCCCGGTACCCGAGTCTTACGTCCCCCCGAGCCGGGTCCAGCGGTGGCGAGGTGGTCTGCCTACACAGTCAACCCGCACAGGAAGGTTGAGGGACTTTCCAAGGTTACCCTTGCATCGTTCCCCTTCGGCCCATCCTTCAGGGGAAGAAACAATGACATAAACATAAAAACTCTGAGGTCCGCGCGGATTTCTCGGATCGGCGCCGGGGCCCCATGGCGGCGCCTCCTCTGCCGCCGCTGGCGCGCTCCGAGCGGATCCAAGAAATCCGCGCGGACCGTCGAAAGTTTATATTGATGTAGTTGTTGCTTCTTTCATTTGTAAGGTCACCCTTGCATCCTTCCCCTTCGGCCCATTCTTGGCCGCCTGCGCTGGCCGCGCCCCGCGCACAGTGTGTCGGCATGATCTTCCAAGGCCCTTGCATCAATATCGCGCGTCCTTGTTATACGGGTTGACTGGGCCCGGGCCCACCAAATAATGATCTAGAATAGCCATTATTGGTTTGCACGAAGTGTTCCTAGATCAGGTCTGGCCGAGACCATCCTCTCAGCGATGCATCGGCTCTGTGTTCTGAGAATGTTATATTTGGCATTCGAACATTATTTTTTATGGGATCATGTCGTGGTAGGCCTACAGGAATGCCAGGACGGTAGATCCCTGCTCAGTGGGACCACGGACGCGGGGGCGGGTCTTTGCTCGATCCCTGTTCCCAGGGGGCCGGAATCGGTACGGAAGCACTGGACATGAAGACCGACAGCAGTTCTTGCCCGCTCTTCAGCAGGACTCAGTGTCGGCATCGCCGTGGACGTTGCCCATTTTGAGAAGAAATCGCCTGCACAGCAGCGGCCGCTGTTGGTGCTGGACAACATTTGCTGTTGGGCGTCGTGGCATTTTCTCCGTACCCATCTCGGGCGTGCCAGCCGTCGTCGCCGCCACAGCTCCTTGACTGGGGCGGAGATGTATCACCGCCTGGAGGATTGATCTTTTGGGATTTCGGCAGGCGTTGGATATGAATATTGGAGCTCTGGTTGGCCCCCCCATGGTGGTGAGGGCGGGCGTCACGTCTCAGGGGAACCGACGTGGATACGAGAACGACGGGTACGAGGGCCGACAGGAGTTCTCGTCCCTGTTGAGCAGGATTCGTTGTCGGCGTCGCCGCGGGCATTGTCCATTTCAAGAAGGAGTCCCTTGCCCAACAGCGGCCGCTGCCGGTGCTGGACTGTAGTTGTTGTTAGGCCTCGTGCAAATCTGTCCGTACCCGTTCCGGGCGTGCCGACCGTCGTCGTCGTCGCCACCGGCCTCTTGCCGCGGCGGAGATTCATCTATCTCCGCCCTCAGGGATGTTTGGTGCTCTGGTGCCTCTGGGGGGCAGTTTTCGAGCCTCTTGGGAGCCACTTGGGAGCCTCTCGGGGGCCTACTGGGGCTTCCTGGGGGCTGTGTTGGGGGCCTCTTGGGGTGATGGTCGCCGAAAAGACGAGAACGCCCAAATCTGTCAAAAACAACAAGCAAAACGAATAAGTTTGCCTCGTGGGGCCCTCTTGGGAGTGCTCCTGGAGTCCCCTTGGGGCGTCTTGGAGGCCTCTTGGGGTGTCTGCAGGCTATCTTGGGCGTCTTGCACCGATTGTTCGGCGAGTCGGTGTCTACGTTTTTCAGCTTCCTTGTTCTTTAACTTCCCTGTGACTGACGACGACGACGACGATGGCGAGGAAGACGACAACGACGACAACGACGATTGAAACAGAAAAGTGTCTCTCACACATGCCGAAGGGTCGGCAGATTTCCGTATCCACCGCCTGACGAGGTTCCCGAAGCTCGATCTCCATGGCAGTGGTGATCGATAAATTTATGCCTCGCACCCCTTGGGTCATGAGAATATCACTACGGGAAAATACTGATCGGTTTTGCACTCTGCATGGTGGCCCTTGACGAGGCCCTGGGGCATCACGGGGAACTGCCCCCTGGTCTAGGACCCGTTTCCGCTCAGGACCCCTTCTTCTTTTGTTTGTCGTCCGCCGTCAGTCGCGTGTCGTCGTCGTCGTCGTCGTCGTCGTCGTCGTCGTCGTCGTCGTCGTCGTCCATTCTTTTTCGCCAGGAGAGGAGAAGGAGGAGGAGGAGGAGGAGGAGGGGAGTAAAGAGGAGTAGGGTCGGGAGGAGGAGGCGCGGTAGGAGGAGCAGGAGGACGAGGACGAGGACGAGGAGGAGGAGGAGCACGCTCTTGCCCGCACTCCATAGCCGCGGCCCCGCGAGCCGAGGGGCCCACGCCGGCAGCGCGCCGGCTGGCCCCGGCCGCGCGTTCCCGCGGGCAAGGCTCGCGGTGAAGCAAGGGGGTTTTGAGGAGCCTCGCAGCATTCGGGCCCCCTGGTGGTCAAACTTGGGGAACGAGCAATGACATAAAACCTAAAAACTCGGAGGTCCGCGCAGATTTCCCGGATCGGCGCTGGACCCCCCCAGGCGCAGCCGGGGGTTCCAGCGCCGATCCGAGAAATCCGCGCGGACCTCCGAGTTTCCATGTTTGTGTCATTTGTTGTTCCCCCTACCCTGGTGAGCTTTGTCCTTTCCTCCACAGGGCAGCGCTCGCTCGCCAGGCCATCCCCCCCCCCCCCTTCCACTGGTGACGCTGACGATCGTACTGGGGAGGGTGGCCTGGACGCCCCCCCCCCTACATGCCGTGGTGCACACAGGCGATGGAGGCGCCGTTGGCGCGGACGCACCTCGGCGGGTGCACGCCGCGGCCGCCGTTGCCGTTTCCCTCTCGCCTGGACCCGTGGGGGGCTGGCACAGGGCCGAGCCAGGGCCGGCGCGAGGCGGCGGGCGGCGGGAAGGCGGCCAGGAGGGCGTCCAGACAGATGTGGGTGGGGCAACGATCGGGGGGGGGGACCCCCACCCCCCCGGGCAACGACAAAAGCAACACAAAACACGGCCACCTGGGCCCTGCACGGGCCGCGGGATGGCCGGAAGAGGCTCCTCGGGGTGTAGCGCCGGTCCAGGGGAGAAGCCTTCAGTGGGGCGTGTCACGTTACAGGAGGAATAGTCAGAAATAGTACAAAATAGTCTTGGGACGAGTTTTCAAGTTTTTTTGTTTGTTTTGCATGCTTTTGTGTAAAAGGAATCGCCCCAAATCCGCCTGTGGGGGGACATGCCCGACCAAAGAGGAACCCCCAGGGTCGAAGGACCGATGCCCTCGGCTTCGCGCGAGTGTGGCCCTTCGCCAGAGTGGCCTCTGGTTCGGGTCCACTGGGGTGCCCCCAGCGCTGGCCCGAAGCAGTAAGTCGGGCGTGTCCCTCTACAGGAGGAATAATCAAAAATAATTGTTTTGAAAAATAGTCTGGGGACGATGTGTTGAGTCTTTCTTTAATCACGTTTTGACTATCTTCTATGTTTCGTTAAAACATCCACCTGTAGGGGAACATGCCCGACCTAACCGAAGTAGCTTCCTCGCTCGAAATTGGCCCCCTCGCGCCTCCCCGAAAGCCGCGCACCAAAGGTAACTCTTGCCTTGGGGTCATTCTTACGGGTAACCGATCTCCTCAGGGCCTGCTCCTCTCATGCCAGAAGACGGTCGGACTGAGGTATACGAGCGAGGTCGGTTCGGGGAGGGTGCCCCTATGTTCTTCGTGCTTATGAAGTGTTTTTTTGTGCATCCTGGGGGAGGGCACCCTCGAGTGTTCTTCAGGTTGGGCTGGCGGAGGGTCTCTTGTTCTTGAGGGATGTTGTTTTTCTGTCCTAGGTCCAGCCGTAGCCGATTTCCTTAGGACCGTTCGGAAAAGGAGGGAATCCCCTGGATACACTCCAAGTGGACTATTCGGATGCACCCCAATCGAGGATGGACTGGATCCCCGAGTTGGTACCAAAATCGTTGGTCCATCCGAAAACCCTACGAAGCCTGGGATAGAGGTCGACATCCCCTGTTACTTCCCCCTGTCGTCCTCCTCGTTGTCGTCGCTCGTGCACTCACCTTGCGGCTTGGCTCCTCCGCGATGGTGAGAAGCAGTGCGGCCTGCTACTCCTCCTCCCTTGAGACCCTTGCTTTTCTCCCTTGACGGAGCCTGCGCGAATCATGACGCGACTCGGGCGGTGAGGCAGGGGGGCGGTCGGAGGACGCGTAATGGTGTGGGGGGGGCAATGGGGGGGAAGCGAGGGCTGCCGAAATGGGGACCCTCAGGGCCTGGAAAGGGCACCCTTCTTCCCCCCACCATTTGTCGCCCCCCCATTGAATTCGCACCCAAAGCGGGGACAGATCACGGGCGTCATCGCACATTCGAGTGAAGCATTATGATGCTCCAACCTACTTTTAGCCCTGATCACTAGACAGGATTTCGCGCTTCGCGAGCCAAGGAAGTACCAAAATTGAATGGGTTTCACGTATCGGGCCCTGGGGGGCGATCCTCGGTCGGCACTGCTTCGATATTTTTCTGGGTGTTCGACATGATGCCTGACATGTGGTCCTTAAGTACGACGGGAACAACACACAGCGAAGACGTTGAACTCAGGACAGCTTTGCGCTCAGAAGGGGCCCGAGTGTCCGGGCTGTTCTGTTCCCTAGATGTGTGTCCTGAGACTCGCTTCTGGGCCAGGCCGGCCGTGGCCAGCAGAGCCCCTCCCCGTTCCTCCTCGTGCGTTCCCTCTGGGTAGCACGAGGACTGCAGGTCGAGCAGGCTCCTCCTCCTCTCCATCCACGCGCGGGGTGCGGGGGGGCAGGCGGCCGACCCGGCGCCGGGGCCATTCCTCGCGCTGGTCTCGGGGCTCGGGTTCGGGGACAAGGAGGCGGCGGCCCGGCCGCTCGTCGTGCCGCCGGCCGCCCCCTGCGAGCTCGGCCGGAGGAGGGGGCAACGTTGGGGCTTCGGGGGGTGCACAATGAGTGGGCAGGGCCTTTGTGGGCACCCAAAAGTCAAGGGAGGAAAGACCACCCGGACCCGACAACTGGCGTTAAACAAAAACGTCTTTGGGCGTTTATTAAGCAGCCCTGCCCTGTCTGATTCCTTCGGGTGCGTTTACTAAACGGCTTCGCGTGTCGGGGTGATTATTATGGGGGGGGTATCTGCCTCCAGTACAGGCCCTTTAGGGCCCCAAAGGAGGCCTGCACGGCCCGAAAGGTGGACCTTTCTCCCCCGTCCCCCATTAATTCGCGCCCAAGGGTCGGCCACACGTAAGAGGGACTTGTTTGCCAGAGTGACAATTGGCGCGGGCACAGTGGAGCTCCCAGACGACTGAACACGACGCAAGAGAAGCGCTTTGCGCTCTCGTGTTCGGCCTCCCCGCGGCCCCCGAAAGTCTCGTTTCAGAGGCCTATCTTGCCCAGGGTAACTCTTGCGTGTAGCCGATAGGGGGGATAGGATCGGGGATTGAGGCTTCTACGTTAATGGGGATCGGCTACGGGATGTGCTCGGAGGTTTCTGTCGTTTTCGAAAAATTTCGCAGACCGGGGTGGTCTCCATCAGCTGCGCTTCGTCGAGGGGGCACCCAGGGTGCGGGAATCGTCCTAAACGGCTGCCGTGTTGTAAAGTTTTTTTGTTGAAATCCCAGAACCGAGCTATGACCCGAAAACCAGAAAGGGAGCGCTAGGAAGGGATAATTTGAGGAGGGGATGCATCTAACCCCGAACGCCATTCAATGGCCGATAGGGGCCTGACAGCCCACCCTGCCAAGGAGCGCGTGGTTTTGTTGTCGGGGGCCTATCACCGATCTGTCGGCCATGTATTGCCGATTCCAGAAGCCGGTCCCTCCAATACCATCGGTCGTTGAAAGTAAGTATTTCTGGAGCCCCATATTACAATCGGTTGTAAGCGCCTTCCTACTTCAATGATCGAGTGGCTTCACCTTTTCCGTCCGCTTTAGTGGGCGGACGGAAACCCAATATGTTTTCAACGCCTTCCAACTTCATGTTTCTACCTACGGTAGGTTCGCGTCGTGTCGACTGGCGGCGACCCCGCCGCGGGCGTTCAAGGTTGAACGCCGCCAGTGGCCCAGAATCGGCCTATGTAGAACAATCGGGCGATCGAAAAGCCGCCGCTCGTTCAAGGTTGAACGATCCACGCGGTGTCAGAAGCCAACGCTGGGTCGTCACGACACGAATTTGCCTTATATACTTCTTTCGACCGATGGTGATGGGCCGATTTCCCACCACCACTACCATAGGTAGGACGGGAGAGAAGAGAGGATGAGGAGGTCCTCCTCCTCAGCCTCCTCCTCCTCCTTCTCCCTCTCCTACCTGTGGTGGTGGTGGTGGGAAATGGGCCCATCAGATGGGCACCGGCCGCATTTTGGGGAGGGCACCTCCCCCGATCCATGGATTCGGCGACCGCGCACCAAATCCATGGATCGCTAATCCATGTTTGCGCGCCGCCGAGCACAGCAGGGTCTGGGGCCACCGTCGGCCTCGGGGGCGCCCCCGTCGGGTCTCCGTGACGGTCCGAAGTTCCGTGCGTCCAGATTTTGGGGCAAAGATTCGAGTAGGGGGTGGACTCCAGAGTCGGTTCGCCCCGACCTGCAATACACCGCAGTTTTACGGGCTATTCTACGTAGTTGTCTCATGGGTTGCCCCTGGTCGAGAAACGCGGCTGCGGAGTTCTGGGTAGGTGTTCGCGGAGGGGGGGGCCCGAGGATGTTGGACGTTGTGGGTCGTCTCGTGGCAACCGTGGGCCTCCATCAAGCCCCAGGGACCTCCAGAGCCCTCTAGGGTTCAAGACCCCCTCGGGCCACGAGAAGAATTACGACAGGAGTTCTTCTCTATTATCGGTTTCTGGGGGCCCTCACCAGGTCTCGGGACCCTCAAAATGCGACCCAGAATGAAAAAATGGTCCCGGTGAGAGGGTCCAGACCTTTGGAGGTCGACGTTATGATAAGTAATCATATGATGTCGGGATTATGGGGTGTGAGGGGTGAAGGGGGGGGGAGAAGGAGGTGGGGCGGGGCAGGATGAGAGGGGAGGAGGAAGACGTGAGGCGGAAGTGCAGGGGAGGGATGGCCGTGGAAGGGGAGGGGAGGTTTTGAAGGGGGGCAAGGGGGAGGGGAGGGGCATGCAGAGGAAGGGCAAGCAAGAGGGTTGACGGAAGGCACTTCTCCCAATCTCATCTCTCCTCCCATAGACAGTTGCGTGTGGTGTAAGTCGGCTTCGACGTATAAGAACAAACACCTCTCTCCCCTCACGAATCCTTCCACGACAACTGATCGGGAGCAGATAAAGAGCAGCAGCAGCAGCAGCAGGGCGAGGGCAGGATGAAGACGACGAGGATGAGGATGCGGATGAGGATTGATTCGGATCATGGCGAACCAGGTGGCTGGGGAAGGTTGCTCCGTGTGTCGTTTCTTGGCTCAGGTAGTTTTCGTCACCGTCAGGCGGCAATGGATTTGCACTGACTCATTGCAACTGTGGTATCGCGCTCGTGTTGGAAATGATCCTCCTGATACTTCTGCACGGGTACGAGGAGGACGAAGGAGAGCATGTTCAGGAGGAGACTAGGGATCAGGACGGGGAGAAAGGATTCCGAGGAGGGGCAGCATACGAATTTTGACGAGGACCAGAGGCCAACCTTTTCGTATGCTTCCTTTTTTGACGCTGATCTTGGTTCAATGTAGATGTCGTCCTTCTCGCCTCATATTCCTCCTCGTTCCGCGTCCTTCAGACATCCCTCCTCCTGTATTCCTTCTTCCTCTTCGTCGTCATCGTCCCTCTCCTCCGCCTTGTCCTCCTTTTCTCCTCCTCCTCCTCCTTTTCTCCTCCTCCTCCTCCTCCTCCTCCTCCTCCTCTTCCTTCCAGATTCGTTATCCTCCTCGTCCGCCTCCTCCTCCTCCTCCTCGGCCTCTTCCTCGCCCTCGTCGCCCTTCCATTCGAACGGTAGCCTATTGATAGTTCCTGCCCCCGCTTTCCTATCCAACCACCTCCTTTTTCCATTGCCGCTTTGGCTCGGGGGCACGGCAGGTTGCAACTGACCGCGCCCCTGTTAGACTCGTGTTCTACCGTGTTCAGTCTCCTTTTCGCCCAGGCAAAAGGTACCTCTTACTTCACACTCCGTTTTCATCCTTGGTGGCGGAGCGCCGGCTCCCTTCCACGACCTCTTGCCGCCATGGCCCGCGCGGCACCTCCGCCAGCTCATTCCCCATCGTCATCCACGTGTTCGGCAAGATTGCTTTTCCTGCTATCTGCGTTTATCCATTTCGCGCTCGCTCAGACGAGCGACGGAGCGGACATTGGACAGAACAAGTACGCCATCACAAACCTCAAGGAGCGCGGCGCCCACCCGCCGCCGCTGCCTGCTTCTCCCCCAGGGAACTCGCCAACTATGTTGGAGACTCCATCGGGAACGCATGGCCCTGAGCTGTTCGCAACTATGCAGCGGGAGCCTTGGGAAATGCAGCCGGAAAAGAGTTCGGATAAAAGGGGGGGGTAATTCATTGGATTGTCTGGCGATTTATGTCGTCACCACTCCATGGGGCAGCGAAGCAGGTCTGGGACCGTGTGTATTCGCTTTCTTGGAAAACGATATATGGCCGCACCCACCGATCCCCTTCAGACTGGGAGGGCGGATTCCGATGCGCACTTCTCTGGGCGATCGTTCATTTGGCGGCGTTCAGTACAGTGGCGACACTGCGCACGAAGGGCAGAGCCACAATGATGTCGTGGTGTGTCGGAGTGCGTCGATCGCCACAGCGTCGCGACGCGCGAAGGGAATCGCCGCACTGATGTCGCGGGGTGCCCCGAGTGCAATGACCGCCACGACGACGCGACAGAAGAAAACACCCAATCCGCTGACGAAGAGAAGCGCATCCGGCGCGGGGGCCCACGACGGCCCCGAAGCGCATGGTCAGAGCGACGCCGTCGGTGGGCACGTGTCCTCCAGCGGCTCCTTGACCAATGGAGGGGCCTCCATTCTGCCATCGGAGTTGGTGCGCTCGCCTTGGCCAGCTGCACCACCCGCGCGGATTCAGGCGGCGGCGAAAGCAGCGCGCGGCACCTCCTTGCCGGGGGGCCCGAGCAGCAAGCTAGCGCTTCCCTCCCTCAGCGCTGGGCGCGGGAGGTGATGATTGGGTCAGTGGCGAACTCGGACTTCGACGAGTTCCGCCAGGAGGCCCGCGCCTCATCCCTTGTTGCCGGCATTACCCGAGAATGCGTGATCGAGTGGCCGCCAGCTGTCTTCATGCAGGGAGGCACCGTCGACGGCAACCCAGCGCCATCGATGACCATCCCGATGGACAGTCTGGCCGAACTTTGGTGCCGACTGCGCGAAGAGGAGCGCGCCTCGGCAGACTCGGCACCTATGGGCTTCGATCGAACGCCGCAGGAGCGCTTAGAGAACCTCCTCGCGCGCGTTGGCTTCCCCCGCCCCCCCCCCCTCCAGCAACAGCAACCTGGCCAACTCATGATCGGCCGCGGGCGTCTCAGATTCCCCCCTCGTGCGCGGCAGGGGCGTTGCGCGCGAGGCTGGCCGCGATCTTGTAGCGCCACAGCGTGACCTACTCGACCACCGCAGCGCAGCCAGCACACATGACGGGTCATCTGCGACGTCATGGGCATGCGATCGAATGGTCGCGCGGCAGTCTCGCCTCAGCGACTCATTCAGCCCAACGACAAACCTTTCCCGCAAGTGCGCCCACGCAAGATCAGGCTCAGAGCGTCGATGATAATACAGCCGGATCGATCCGGGCCGGCCTGGGCCCATATGCGCTGCGGGGCGGCGGCGAGCCCGCGTGCGCCGGCGCCGCCAGCGCAGGGGGCATCCCAGCAGCTGCCATCGACAGGCACTGGGCCTGACGCCATCCGCTCACTCGGCGAAGGTGAAATGGCCGCCCACGGCCCTCAGCTACGCGGCGCTCTCGTTGAGCAGTTCGGCGCACGCTTGTTCTGGGCTGACGAGCGCGCCAGAGCACGGCGGCGACGCGACAGCAACCGCGGGCCCGCGCTCCGCGCCCGGAAGGTAATTGAGAAGAAGGGCAGGGGCGACCGAGCCCTTTTGGCCGACACGGGACATGATATCCGAGAGACAACCGCTGGTTTCGGAAAGGGCAAGTGGGGGGAAAGGGAGATTCAGGCCCATTGGCATGGATCCGGGGCGTCGAGGCAACCCAATGGTCCCCGACCGGGTGCGACTCCAATGCCACGAGTGCGATTAACTATGAGGTACACCTTGCGCGCGACTACCGGCTACCCCCCCCCCCCGACTCCGCCATCACGGGCGCGTTTTTTTCTTCCGCACTTGCCCCCCGCAACCGCTGCCGCCCACGCCATTGTCGAACGCGGGGCAGCAATGGCCACCGAACCCAGCGAGCGGCAGCCCTTGACGAAAACAAATCCGCTTTGGATGATGAGGGACACCGCCAGCCACGGGCAAACTATGTGGGCTGGCTCTGGCGCGAGTGACCCCGCGCAGAGCGTTGGCCCCTGGAACGGCGGACGGCCGACTCCAGCATCAGAAGCGCCGCGGCCAGCATCAGCAGCGGCAGCAGCTACTTCGCCAAATTCGTCGCCCGACGGTTCGCGTCAACTTGGCCGCAGTCAGTTGCCACGTTGGGCGGGTGCGGCGCCTTCAGCGTCGTCGCCCAACCCCCGCAACGCCGAGCTACGACGACTGCGACAGGAGATAGGCGATCCCACGGGCCGCGTGCAAGCTACTGCTGAGCCGCCGAGATCTGCAACTATGTTGCAGATCCACGCGGCAGCAGCGGGGGACCCAGCATCACTCAGCATCAGCCGCACCTAGAGCACCAGCAGCTCCACCGGCACCACCTGCACCACCACAGTGGACACGAGTTAGCAGTGCTATCCTTCAAGGATGAGACCAGGGGCGCGACTGGCTGGGCGGCCACCGCGCACGGGCCGCAGCTCCCATTCCGCCGGCTGCTGACGTGCAGCTGCCGAATTGGTCCTACACGCTGTCAGTGGCCTCTCCCGGCATCGGCGCGCCATGCGGATTGAGTTCCGTTTGGCCACCATAATCGGCATTGGCGCCCACGCCACCGCAAGTGCCAGACATTCGATTTGGATTGGCCCTGCATGTTCAACGCAGACGGGGCAGTGGGCACGAGCCAACCATCGGGGAGAGTGGCCTAGCACTAGAGCTACTACGACAGCGAGCAGGCCAGCCGCGCTGAGGTGCACGGGGGTTGGGCAGAGACGCCGACTAACCATCCTCCGGCCCCGTCCGCGGCGCCAGCTACACCTCCCGCAATGGTTGTTTTCAACGGGCGCCTTAGTCCACGGCGAGTCTGCTGCACGGCTGCAGTGCTGATGAATGTTGCGCCGCGCATGCCGCCTACAATTCATGCAGAAAACCTACGCCCGCTTGATCCACTGCCCAGCGTGCCGCGGATTTTCGCTTCATTGGTGCAGATCGCGCACCGAGGAGGAGGGAAAGGTGGAGGAGGAGAAGGAGGAGGAGGAGGAAGGAGGAGGAGGAGGGAGGAGGAGGAGGAGGGAGGAGGAGGGATGCTGATGATGATGAGGAGGAGGAGGAGGAGGAGGAGGAGGAGGAGGAGGAGGAAGAGGAGGAGGAGGGAGCAGGAGGAAGAGCAGGAAGAGGAGGAGGAATTGGGGGAGGAGGTGGAGGAGGAGGAGGAGGAAAAACGAGGAGGAGGAGGAGGAGCAGGAGGAGGAGGAGGAGGAGGAGGAGGAGGAGGAGGGATGAGGAGGAGTAGCACGGTGGATGAGGAGGAGGACGAGGAGGAGGAGGAGGAGCAGCAGCACCAGCATGACATTACAAGGTTGAGGAGGAGGAGGAACAGGAGGAGGAGGAGGCGGAGGAGGGTCCCACATATGATAAGGAGAACCGCTCGCCGTTCGGAAGACTCAGAGGGGGACGGGGAGCGAGGACTGAGGAGTGGGGGGGAGCCTACCTTGACAGAGAGGTGCGCGGCGATGGCGGCGCCCCCCCCCCCCCCCCCCCGCGGCAAGGCCGAGTCGACGGGCCTCGCCGCCGCGCGCGAGCGGTTGCGGGGGCTCTTTGCTTCGGAGGACGGCCAGGCGCCGCCCGATTGCCTCGATCATCCTCCCTCCCTCACTCCTCTTCCTCCTCTTCCTCCTCCTCCTCCTCCTCCAACTGCTCCTCCTCCTCCTCCTCCTCCTCCTCATCATCATCATCATCATCATCATCATCATCATCACCCACTTTCTCCTTCCCATCCTCGTCATCATAGTAGTTTTAAGGCGGGCCTACAGGCGGGCCTACAAGGCATACCCGGGCCTGTCCCTGTACAGGGGGAATATCCAAAACTAATCAACAAATAGTCGGGGGACGACTGTTTGAGAATTTCTTGTTACTAATTATGTTTAATTATGTTGGGTGTATGGTTTGATGTTTCGCCCCAAACCCCCCTGTAGGGGGACATGCCAGACCTAATAGTAGTTGCCATCATCAACATCATCATCATCGTCATCAGCATCATCATCATCATCATCATCATCATCATCATCATCATCATCATTGTCGTCATCACCATCATCATCACCGTCATTATCGCCAGCAGGTCCTGCACTATCTTAAGGTTGCCGCCTCTGCCGCCGACCCCTGTCTGAGCCGCCGCGAGGCGATTTTGTGGCGATCGTCTAGGATATGTTGGCCGTTTTGGCGAGCCGGGAAGCTGGAAAGGCGAGGGACCAAACAACTCTCAAGCAAACACACACTGGATATACGATGTCACCATCGCCGTTTGCGTCTTCATCGGTATCGCCGTCGTCATTTTCATTGATTTCACCTTCCTCTCCTTTATCTCGTTCGGTGCGTTCGTGGGGCCGCAGAGCGTGCCGTAAAGGGTCGCCGAGTTGACCTGCGCACGACGTCGGCTTGCCCGGCAAACGGGCTCGGACCTCGTCGCCATTCTCTCCCCCGCGCCTCAGGGCGGGGAGCCCGCGCGGAAGGGGACATCTCAGGGTGGTCCTGCTGCCTGCGGCTGCCCGCCTGCTCCTGCCCCTCCCTTGTTCCATCCCTGGCCCCCCCCTGCTCCTCTTCCTCTTCCTCCTCCTCCTGTTCCTCCTCCTCTTCCTCCTCCTCCCCCTCCTCATCCTCTTCCTCCTCCTCCTCTCCCTCCTCCCCCTCCTCCTCCTCCTCTTCCGCTCCTCGCATTCCCTCCCCTCTTCCCCCCCCCCGGGGGGCTCCAAGGAGGGAGCCGATGGCTGCGTTTCAGCCGTCGCACGTTCTCTTCGCAGTGCTCCCTGGGAATGGCGTGCTCCGCGGGGTGGGGTCTTCTGAAACATCCCGTTCCTTGATCGCTCATCGTTTTATCTTGATGTCTATGGCACTCCCCGCAATTGCCGGATTAGACCTCGTAACATGTGGGAATCGTTGGATTGCATTCGCGGGCATCTTCTGTTGATGAGTTGCAGTGCACCGGTCATCTTAGCCTCCTCTTGTACGGTCAATCGCGGGACCCTGGATCCTACCTGGATTCAACGTGCGCCCGGGGTCGTCAGTGCCAGCGTTGCCTTGCAGTTTTTGGATCCTATGTTGGTCCCGGCAGTCGCCGCATGTTCACAGTGCACACATCAGGGGCAACGACAGGGGGGGATAGGCATAGGGGGGGATGCATCGATCCCCAATCGCCCATTGATCACCGATAGGGGCCCGATTGCCCCACCCCGCCCATGAAGGTGCGGATTCACGATCGGGGGCCTATCGCCGATCTATCAGCGATGTATCGCCGATTCCAGGTCGATGCATCCCTCCCTATGCCAGTCCTCCCCTATCGTTGCCCCTCAACACACACACACACACACACACACGCACGCACGCACGCACGCACGCACGCACGCACGCACGCACACACATTCCCACCGACACGCACACACACACACACACACACTCACACACACGCACACACACACACACACGCACCAATGCGTGCTGTCTGGGCTCCGCAGTCGCATGGGCGCAGAGGGGTCGATGCGCCCTGCCGCCCCTGCCATCTTCAGCAGCGCGCTGCGGCTGCTTCTGCAGCGCTTCGCGTGGCGAGGCGATGCAGAGCCGCAACCCTTCGGACCCCGCCACTGGCGTCGCGGAAGCCAGGCGAAGGCTGGCAAACCCGTGGTTGCTGAAACGGAGCTCCGGGAAATTGATATGTTCTTCCGGGAAGCAGCCCGGGGACTATCTAGTGCGCTGAGTTGTATCCGGGGAGTTTGTTTGTTCTCTTCCGGGAGCACAGTTTTCGCAGCCACGGATTTGCCGGCCCTCGCCCAGCTTCCGAGGTGTCCCAGTCGGCGGGCAGTTGGGGCGCGCTGGTCCTCCTTCTGGCGTCACACTCTCCACTCGTACAGGGCCAGCCTTTTGAGGTGTCCTGGCAGTGCCTGCCTGCCCGCGTCTGGTCGTCGCTTGAGGCTGCGGGTTGGGGATCTTTGGAAGGGGTTCGTAACGCGAGTCCTTGTGATTTCAAGCGGCAGATCGCTACTTCCCCATTCCTGAAGGAGCTGAAACCGTGGTTGCTGCTTGTGAGAGGGCGCGCCGACACTGACATTCTCAAGACATTGGAGCTAGCAGCTTCGTTGGCACAAGTTGCGCCAGATTCCATGTGCGACTTCATCGGGGTCGCTCCGGGCAAACGGCGGAGGACAAGCGTGAACGCACCGCCGCGCGAGCACCTCGACATGTTGCGCTCTGCCCAGGAAGAGGGTTTCGATAGACGTCCTGGTGGCAAAGAAACTCGGGGCTTCTGTGGGTAGGTCGCTCAGCCCTGAATATGCCTTTCCTCCCAACAACTCCGAGCACTGTGTACACACTCGCCGCCCTGTTAACACACGAAGGCACGCTAAAGACGATGCTGTCAGCGTGGCGCAAGTTCCATCAATTGGCAAAATATCATTGGCCGGTGGAACATTCCCCAGTCTTGGCCGACATCAGATTTGGGGTGCGCATGCTGCAGACTCCAGCGCCTCCCAGGCCTCGTGCTCAGAAGAGCAAGCTGCGGCAACTCTAGGCGCATAGTGCCCAGACCGAAAGCTTCCGGGGCATGAGCTACACGATGGCGTATGCGTTCCTGTTCCGAGTCCCATCCCAGCTCTTGGAACAGTTAAATGTTTGTCTTCTGCAAGAGGACGGGGGCACAGTGCCCATTAGGCGTAAAAAGGAAGCTGCGCGCGCAGCTCACGCTCGAGGCCATCTGCGTTTGCAAGGTCGACCCCCTGATTTGCGTACACATGCGGGCGTTCTGGTTGCTTGCTGCCCGCGGCGGCCCCAATGAACTTGTATACCCTCCAGGGTACTACAGCAGGTTCCGGGGTCGCGAAGACCGGCGGCAGAGGTCTTTGATTTTGTTTTCCATGATTTCCGCCATGGGGCCACGATAGACATCCACGACGCTGACGGGTTGACCGCGGTCCGCGCCAGAGTGGAATGGGGAAGCAGGGCCGTCACGGGCTACATACCGCCTACGTACCACAATTGAGTCCCGGGCCTTAGCTGAGGCTTTGCGCATGGAGTCGGACGAAGAGGTCTCCACTTGTGGGCGCGGTCCTATCGGAACGCTCCAATGGAAAGCGAAAGGATTGGGAGGCAAGGGGGCCGCTTCCAGTATCTCCCAGACTCTTGAGTTGGCTCCCCCCTCCTCTCCTCCGCCTGCAGCTTGGGCTCGCGCGCGGGAGCGAGCCGCGAGCCGCCCGCTTGGGGGGGCGCGGTCCTACCGAAGGTCTCCGATGGAAAACGACAAGAGTGGGAGGCAGGGGACCCACACGCCATGTCGGCGAACCCTTTTACACGCTTCGTGACCCCATAAACGAGTTCCACCTGAGGCCCAATAGTCCTGCTTCGCATACCTTCTCCACGCCGTTCCGGCTCCTCACACGCGTCGTGGCCCCATAGGGGGCTCCGCCCCCCATAGGGGGCTCCGCCGAAGGCCCTTGTGGCCGCCCCAACCGACTCGAAGATCAACCGTAACGGGTTACATTCACAAGTGGCGTGTTTTTGTTGCGGCCTATCTCTGCGGCCGTATCAGCAACGTCGCACCGCCCTTCCAAAGTACGCCTTAGTCTTGTTGCGCGCCCATTCCCTTACTTTCCACCTGTCTCGCGGCACTCGCGGCTGCATATGGTTGGATCATTCGCCAGGATAATTCCAAGTTTGCACAATTCGCGCACGGATGAACGGCATACTCTTGTCAACGTTGGGCTCACATTGGGCCCTTCTCTGATTTTGATCATGCTGCCTGTTTTGCGTTTAGTTGGGCCCATTGCAAAAGGTTTTTTCGCCTGAGGGGCTTGCCCGTTGGGCGCTAGTGATTCAAAGGGGAGTCTCCAGCACTGGAAGGAACACGTGTAACAGTTTATGAGGGGACAACTTGTGACGGCAGGGTGTATTGCAGCATCGCTGACGCATTCTGAGTTTCTTATGGTCTTCCTTCTTTCCTATCGTCGGGGCCAGGGCGCTGAAGAAGGAACCCTTTTCGTTGGGGAGGGGCTCGGTGTTCCTTGACCGTTTTACAGTTTGCCTCGGGTCCCCCTTGGGCTTCATGGGAGATCGAAGTTCAACGTATGGGAACAACGGGCTTCCTTATTTTGGGTTCCTTGGGTCAACGCCCCGACTGTAGGCCAGGCCCTTCCTCCTCAGCAGTCTGGGCCCCCACGTCTGCCGCGGGCCAGCCGACCAGCAGGCACGCCCGGAGCGACCCTGGCACGACCTGGCCTCCCCTCCCTGCCTCCTCCCTGCCTCCTCCTCCTCCTTCTCGTCCTCCTCCTCCTCCTCCTCCTCCCCCTCCTCCTCCTCCTCCTCCTCCTCCTCCTCCTCCTCCTCCTCCCCCTCCTCCTCCTCCCCCTCCTCCTCCCCCCTTGACCTCGCCTTCCTCTGCCGATGGAGGCTTGCCTCCTGCGGCAGGAGGCGATCCTCCATCGGGCGTTGCGGATGCGACAGACAGTGAAATTGCACGTGCCATGGCGCCTGCAAAAATACAGCACCGACCCAGGAACAATCACACAGGACAGTCTTAGGACAAAGCTGTCGCGTTTACAAGCCATGGGCCGCAGGGGCCCCGAACATCTGAACCTGTCATCCCCCCTGCCCTGCCCCTGGACAGCATCCAAGAGAAAACGGTCGAGGGAGGCCCGCGCGCATCTCCCGGACCTGGGCGGGCCGCGCCGGACGCGAGGCGCCCCCCGGCGCCGTGCAGAAGCTCATCGTCTGCGGCGGCCTCGTGCGGGCCGACTTCCGAGAGAAGGGAGCGGCGCGGGGGCGGTTCAAAGATGGGAGCCTGCAAGGTGAGGCCCTCGCCGTTTGAGGCCACGCGTCCTCGGGCCCCGCCCTTCGGGGCCCCACCCTTTGAACCGCCGAGGTGGGGCGCTCGGCAGCAAGGGGGGGGTAGAAGCGAGGGGAGGTCGAGAATTCGTGACGCTTCGCGCATCCCCACCATACCATGCAGAAGGAGATTGTCGGGCGAGTTGCCTTGACCAGGGGAGTGCAGAAGAGTGCAGTGCAACAATCGACTTGGAAGCGTTTTCTGGGAGGTCTCTTGGAGCCATCTTGGGGCTCACTTGGGATCCTCACGGAGCCTCTTGGTACACTCTTGAGGTCTTCTTGCGGCCCTTTTGGGGCCTTCTTGGGGCCATCTTGGGGCTCGGTGGGGGGATTTGGGAGGCTTCTTGGGGCCATCTTGGCCCCCATGACTCTGAAAGAGCGGGGAGTAGGAAATTCAGGTCCCGCCCCCCCTGGGAGGGTCAAAATTGCGTGTTGAGGCCATCTTGGTGCGCTCTGAAGCGCTCTTGGGACTGTCTTGGGCCTTTCTGGAGCCGCTGTTGGGGTTCTCTTGGGCCGTCTCGGGGCCTTCTGGAGGCCTCAAGAGCCCATCGGAAGCGAAAAGGCGAGAAGGCAATAATCATTGATTCTCCTTGCGAGGGAGCAATCTGGGCTTCTTCTTGGGGGGGTCATTGGGGAGCTCGGAGGGCACTTAAAACCCTTCATGGGGGGTCGTTTTGATGCCTCTTAGATGTGAGTCGGAGGCTATACTGAACCTTTTGATGTATCTCGAGCCATCTTGGAGGCCATCTTGCGCTCTCAAAGGCCCTCTTGGGGCTATCTTGGGCCTTCTTCGACGCTCTAACCCCTTGCAGGGCGCCACTTCCAGGCCCAGGGGAGGGGGGGGAGGGTCAAGCTACCCACCAGCCCGCAAGCCGTCTAGCTCACTCCCACCCGCCCTGCCAACACATAAGTAACACCCGAGCCTGAGCAGGTTCAGCGGTCGTTTTTGGATGGACAGCTACTGGGAACCTAAGCCGACCCCATGTGCCCGACGTTTGGGCGAGGTGCGCCACGCGTGCCAGGGGCGCCACGCGCGCCAGGCACCCCTGGGCCCGAGCGTGCCAGGCACGCCTGATGCGCCACGTGCTCCACGTGCGCCAGGTGTGCCACACACTTCAGCCGCGCCAGGTGCGCCATGTTCGGGGCACGTGCAGAGTGCGTCAGGTGCGCAAGCGCACGTGACAGTACACATCGGGAAACATGTGTCGGCTTCCACCAGCCTTGTCGAAAACCTATGCCCGTCATCGTGTCTGGTGGGCCTGCGCACAGCATGCCACGCGCCACCAACCATTTGACAGTGATCGCGGGATGGCCGCTCATGATCCAGCTTTAGCCGCGAGGTGCATGTTGTATTGTTTTTGTCAGGGATAGTAGCCCTGCGCACGGCAGGGAATATGCTGACACCCCCGCCGTCCCTGTCAAAAACAATACACAGTGTTCGCGGGTTTCGCGAACATGACTCAAGACTTTGCCCCAAAGTGTACTTTGCATTATTTTTGACAAGGATGGTGGGGGGGGCGCATCGGGTTGGCCGCGCGTGCTCGAAATGTGGAGGCAGAGTGCGGTTTGTATTGCTTTTTGACAGGGATGGTGGGGGGCGGGCCCTCATGGTGTCTGCATGGTTCTTGGTTGGACGGCGTGTATATTGATAGGGAACGGCGATATATATATATATATATATATGGTTGGACGGCGTGTTTTTTGACAGGGATGGGGACGGGCGTGTATATTGATAGGGAACGGTGATTCTATATACGCTCCTAGATAGCAAGCCGTCAAGCTCAATCCCACCCGCCCTCTCAACACATAAGTAACACCCGAGCCTCAGCATGTTCAGCGGTCGTCTCTGGATGGGCCGCTACTGGGAACCTAATCCGACCCCATGTGCGCAATCCACGCGCGCCTGGCACCCCTGGGCACGAACGTGCCAGGCACGCCCGGCTTGCCAGATGCGCCACGTGCTCCAAATGCGCCAGGTGTGCCGCATAATGCAGCCATGCTAAGTGCGCCACGTTCGGGGCACGTGCAGAGTGCGTCAGGTGCGCCTGCGCGTGACAGCACACATCGGGAAACATGTCGGCCCTCACCATCCGTGTCGAAACAGCAATGCCCGTCATTGTGTCTGGTGGGCCTGCGCACAGCAGGCCATACGCCACCACCCCCGCTGTCCCTGTCAAAAACCACTTGACAGTGATCGCTGGGTTGTCGCGCATGATCCATAATTAGCCGCGAGGTGCATGTTCTATTGTTTTTGTCAGGGGTGGTAGCCCTGCGCTCAGCAGGCAATATGCTGACACCCCCGCCGTCCCTGTCAAAAAAATCGATGTGTTCACGGGCCTCGCGAACATGATTTAAGACTTTGCCCCAAAGTGTATTTTGTAACAGGGATGGTAGCGGGACCGCATCGGGTTGGGTGCGCATGCTCCGAATTTGGAGGCCAAGTGTGTTTTGTATTGTATTTTTGACAGGGAAGGTCAGGAGGGTGATCATAGGGTCGGCAGTGCTCCTGGTTGGCAGCCGGTCGCGTGGGGGAGGGCGTGTCTATCAATAGGGAACAGTGATTCACCCTGCCCCTGAGCAGGAAAAGGAGGGAGCGTTGACAGAGAGAAGACAACATTAGTTAAACCACCTACGCCCAGAGGGCTGGTGAGATTCCAGGGGAGTGGCCCCAGAGGGGCGCCGAGCGCCTCCTGAAACTGCCACCGCGAACCCCGTGAGTGCTGGAATTGTGCGCGTGTTTTGACCCTCGGTCTGTTTCCCCCCCCCCGTTGCGGGCCAGGACAACCGAGAGGGGGACGTCACAGCCGACCACCCCGCTGAGCCTGGGCGAGGAGGCAACGAAATCACACAGAATTCATGGCCCCTTCCTCTTCTTCCTGCGCGTCGCGTTGCGGCCCTCTCATGCGCGCACGTACGACGTCGTGCCGTGGTGCCCTAGCCCATCTCTTCCCTGCCCCTTCTTCGGCACACCCAAGGGACCTCCCCGTTGTCCAGGCCAGGAGGGCGCATGCACCGATCTCGGACGGGCCTGTCCTCCTCCTCCTCCACCTCCTCCTCCTCCTGCCCCCCTCCTCCTCCTCCTCCTCCTCCTCCTCCTCCTCCTCCTCCTCCTGCCCCTCCTCCCCCGAGCCACTGGACTAGGGCGTGGGCAGGAATCAAGCCTCCCTGGTCCCACGGGGCCGCTTCTCGCCGCCACGGCCAGATGCTGCTCGACGTTGTGCCTGGAGCGCGCCCTCGGAGGGGGCCCGGGGTCGCCCTCTATCCCCAGGAAGAGCAATTGTCCGGGCGAAAGACATCAAGGCAGGAACAACACCGGGACCCGATAATGTGCGTTTGTGGAGCGGCCTTGGGCGGTTACTAAGCAGCCTTGCCATGTTCGGTTCCTCTTTTGGGTGCGTTTGCTAAGCGGCTTTGCGGGTCGGGGTGATTCTTATGGGGGGTGGATGTTTCTGCTATCTTAGGCAACCACAGGCAGTTGTGAGTACTGCGCTGTGGGTACCGACCGCTCTCGGTGGAGCTCCCTTGGGGGCCACGAATCGTGTGAAGGGTGTGCCGAAGTGGGCGCGGTGGTGCCATGCGAGCGCAGCCACTGAGGCCCTCGGTGGAGCGCCCTGCGGCCTACGGGGCCTCGAAGCGTGTAAGGGGCGTGCCGAAACTGTTGCGGAAGTGCCAAGCGAGCGCAGCCATTCGGGCCTTCGGTGGAGCTCCCAGTGGGTCCACGAAACGTATCAGGAGTGCGTCGGATATTCGCGCCGTGGTGACATGCAGGCGCAGCCATTGGGGCCTTCGGCGAAGCTCCCTACGGCGCCACGAAGCGTGTGAGGGGTGTTCCGACATGGGTGCGGTAGTGCCATGCGAGCGCAGCTACTGGTTCCTTCAGTGGAGCTCCCTATGAGGCCACGAATCGTGTGATGGGTGTGCCGAAATGGGCGCGGTGGCGCCATGCAGGCGCAGCCACTGGGGCCCTCGGTGAGGGGAGCACCGAAATGGGCGCGTTGGTTCCATGCGAACGCTGCCATGTGGGTCTTCGGTGGAGTTCCCTATGGGGCCACAAAACCTGTGAGGGGTGTGCAGAACAGGGCGCGGTGGTGCCATGCGAGCGCAACCACTGGGGCCTTGGGTGGAGTTCCGCGGTGGTGACATGCGAGCGCAGCCATTCGGGCCTTCGGTGGAGCTCCCAATGCTGCCACGATTCGTGTGAGGAGTGTGCCGAAACAGAGACATGAAGAGGGCAGAGGCACGGATGCCATGATGGGAGGAGGGAGGAGGCGGAGGAGGAAGGATTGATACGCGGCGGGTTGCCTCTTCAGAACGAGGACCCAACACCACAGGATGGTCGAGAAACTCATCTAGACATAGCTTTTCGGCGTCCCGCGCGGAAAACTTCGGTTGCTGCTGGGCGGTCCCCAGCACCAGCCGTGGCACGCCCTTCTCGCCAAGGGAGGGGATTCAGCGCCGGTTCGGAGAGTCCACCTGGACTTCCGCTAGTTGGTGATCGGCGTCACCCAAACATGTAACTATTATGTCGCCGTCCCCCCCCCTATATAAAATGGGCGTACTACATGTCCAGGTCGGACACACTCCTCCAAGGAGACGAGATCGTATTTGTATGTCTCTCTGCGTCCCAGGTGATGACGATGCTTGTTGGCTCTTCGGGAAGGGGAGGTGTTGTGTGGCAGTAGTAGTCGTAGTAGTAGTGATAGTAGTACTTTTAGTAGTAGTAGTAGTAGTAGTAGTAGTAGTAGTAGTCGTAGTCGTAGTCGTAGTCGTAGTCGTAGTCGTAGTCGTAGTCGTAGTCGTAGTCGTAGTCGTAGTAGTAGCAGCAATAGTAGTAGTGGTAATAGTAGTATTAGTAGTAGTACCAGTAGTCGAAGTCGTAGTCGTAGTCGTATTAGTAGTAGTTGTTGTACTCGTAGTCGTAGTA